GTTCTGGGCACAATTGTAACTATTGCTTTAATTTCAACATTCATGTTATCTCTGTTGTAGTTTGTGTATTTGCTGTTTGGAGAGGCTGCTCCTCGCGCCTCTAAGGGGATCTTCTTGTATCTATTCATTATTTTAATGGAATTGATGTTATTTATCAAAAAAAAAAAATTTGTCACATATTGAAGTATATCATATGAAGCATCATTTATCCATAATCATACAAACATCACTAGTCATCAGTATATCAAAATTTCAGAATTGAAAATTCACATAAATTGCAAAACATTATCATAAACAATTGTGTCATCTCATATTCAAATGACTGTAACGCATTAAAAGAAATAAAACCTCCACTTCTATCTATAACATTTTGTTATAATATTACAAGAAACAAATTTGGATGGTTTTCGTCCTCTATATTGTGTCAACATATAATGGGGAACATACTAAAAGGATGCCCCCACTTCTATTAATATCTTTATTATAAAAACTAGCTTAAAAGCTAAGAGCATAGAGGTGTACACCTCCTGTATAAAGTGCAAGAGAGGCATCTAGGCATTTTCTTAGCACACCAATATTTAAAACCATGTAATATTAGTTCAAGCAATCTTTAAACTTCACAGATGGACTTGAAGTGACCACAGAGAAAAAGAGATACTAATTAAAACTCTGGCATATATCAAGAACTGACAAAAACAGAAGCATATTATTACATGCATTCACTTCAAAAACCAAAAAGAAATGGGAAAATTATCATGGTGAAATTTTAGATAAAGCATGCGTACATATACCTTCACAATTGCTTTGTCGAAAAAGCAACATTGTGTAAAGAAATATGCTCATTTTCAGAGCTCCACAAATATGCCTCTCAAACAATTTAAGCTGAACCTGTTCCAAACTGTAATTCAAATTTCCAAGTCCCCAATCATTAGAGGAAGGTGAAAAAGTCATAAATAATTAATAGAAGCATCAATTTTGTCTTCAATACTTTAGAGGTATAAGGTGGAGAAATCACCTTTTGAAGGAGCATCTATTACTTGCGCATGAATCAACAACTTGCAAGAGATTAAGTAATCTCCTTGATTTATCGATACTCTTAGTTATGAATAAGTATGGTGCAACCCTCTCCAAGTTAACACTGAGAGAGAGAGAGAGAGAGAGAGAGAGAGAGAGAAAGCATCAGTAAACCATAGAAGTGAATAGTCTTGTAACTGTCATAAGAAGAAAAGATGAACCACCACACCAACCTCAAAATCTGTAGCCCTATACCAACTACAATTTCTTTTATATCTTCAAGTCTATGGTATCCAATGACCTTTGAGATAGTTCCTGCAAGATACCAACCAAATTAACAGCAGTAGTGGTATAACCAAAAACCAACAGAAGGCAATTTCTAACTGCGCAGCATGACCTAACAAGTGTGTATGCCACTGATGAATAGTTCATGCAACTAACCTAACTAACCTGACCCATCAGATGTCACATCAATGAGTAGAATGTATAGCTTATTTTCACTGCTCAGTAGTAAAGCTACTTCTCTGCATGTACAACACAACAGATGAGAATACCTGTAAAGAGTAAACAACTACAGCATAGACCTGAATAAAACTAAGAGCAGTGGTTACAAAGAAGACAGAAAGAAAACAACACTAGATGTGATTGGCCATTTGGCCTCACAAGTCAATTTTTTATCTGTTACCCAGAAATTTTTATTAGTGCCATGCACCCCCAACAGAATAGCCTGGCATACCCCCCCCCCCCCCCCAAATACAAATGAATCCTCTTGACACCATTAGACAATGCATCTGCCATGCAGTTCACTGATCTTTGAGTGCAAATGAATGTAGCACCCTAGTCAAAATTCAATACTAGATTGCTCAAAATACATAGCCAACTTCTAAAACAACAGGGATGACATTATGGCTGCATATTTTACCATTCAGTCTAGAGAACTGCCTCTCTCATAAGTCTTTTTGAAATTTCTTTAGGAAGTATAATTCTCAAGACAATTATTATTTTTCGATAGGTAACTTGTTCTCAAAAAAATTATTATTAATCACTTTATATTTTATTTGGGCCTGCAGCTTAACCTGCCCATAGAGGCAGTAAAGAAAAGATATCTAAGCTGTGCTTGGATGGATGCAAAATATATTGCAGAACAGCAAATATAGAAAAATGTTAATTTTTGTAGTGTTTGGTTGAAATAAAATGCTAAGGGAAGCCAAATATTATCTGAACCTAGAATGAAATGATTTGTCCCCTTTGAGAGCGTAAGTCACTAGAAGTCGTATTGTATAATTGTCTCATCGTATCACTCTCATCCAATAAAAATATTGATTCAAAGGGAGCATCTCTCCTAAATGAGCCTAAAAGCTAGGAGTTCAGGCCATAACCCCCTTTTTTTGATCAGTAACAAAAATTCATTAGCATCAAATTAGGTTACAGTGTAGGCACTACATTACATTAACTTGTTCGGGAATCAATCCCTCCATATTGACGGTACACCCAGATTACGTTACAGTTGTGCCCAAAATAAGTCTTCCCTCTAAACTGGTAAACCCCCTGTTTGACCAAGGAGTCAGCCATTCCATTGGCAGATCTCTTAAGCCATCTAAAAGTTGCTCCCAATTCCTTGGCTAAATTGCTGATTTCCCTTGTTAAGCAAGGAGTAACTAGGGATTAGTTGTACTGGGCCCACTTTATGTTGTTTCTGTATTAATGAGTGAGGCTGCACCTCACGCCTCATACTGGGATGCTTGTAACAGACTCTTTATCCTTTACTTCTAATGAGAGCTAATGAATTTTTATCTATCAAAAAAAGGGGCCTGAGAACAATAGCTATTACTTTGCCACTTCCATCTCTGAATACACCCCCAATCATTTAGGGTTCAGGGTTACCAAGTGAATTCCCATCAAAATTCAGTTTCAATCTATTCCTTGTTGGGGGTTTTCATTCCATGATAACTGTGTTTCTAGCAGTGGAATATTTTTGCCACCACACCTCATTATCTGATTATATCATCCACGCAAAGTCTTTAAACATCTCCATTGGCTTCACCAATTGAGACATCTTCACTTTAATGATATTCACTAAATGCTCTTTAGTTCTGTATTTTTCCTTAAAGATCCTTTCATTTTTCTCTTCCCAAATAGTTCAAATAATAGCTCCCTCCACATAACTCTTCCTCTCTTCTTGGGCTGCCTTAGGAACCATAGATTGGAGGGGCCAGACACATCTTGAGTAAATGATCTGATCACTTACTTTGCAAATGATGCAAACATAGGGAGAAAAGCATTTACTAATCCTTCTTATTTGGAGTTTTCCACAGGCATTGATCTTTCCAAGGAAGACTTCCCAAAAGAGGGCCTGTATTTTTGGAGGGATTGGATGAGGAAGGTGAAGAAAGAAGAACCAGAGAAAATCCCCAAGGGATTGACCAAATTATACCATCTAAAGAATGGGGGTGTAAATAGACTGTTGAAAGTTTTGAAAGTAAATCAATCAGAGAATTGCATTTCCTATCCCTTAGACCCCTTCTGTACCCAAAGTCCCAATTCATCTCAGAAATAGAGTTAGACCAGAGTTTTAGTTATGGGTTCATTCTTGTTGGATGAGATAGAGTAAAGCAAGGAGAATTGAACCTTAAGAGGGGAATTACCTAACCAAAGGTCCTACCAAAACAGGACTTTGTTGCCACACCCTGCATCATACCTTGCAAGGCTCAGGAAGGTGGGAAGGATCTCGTGAATGGATCACCACCACCATGTTGTTCCCTTGATCTATTTCAGTTATAATTTTCAGCAAAACAAAAATATATAAAACAAGAAGAGAGAGAGAGAGAGAGAGAGAGAGAAGAGAAGAGAACAAGAAAGAAAGAAGAACAATATGTGGGGTTTGTTAGTTTCCCACTCCCTTTTATATTCAATAATTAATGGAAGATATGAAATACATCAAGGCTCCTAGGGCAGCAGTAATAACTAAAGTGATCATGTGACCATGTGATAACTAAAAACATAAAACACATAAGTGATAACAGGCCCATAAAGAAGATAATGGCAAGCCAACTAATCTGTCAATGTTTTCCTATTTTACTAGGTATTCTCTCTTGTCATCCCTTTGTTCCCAAAGAAAGCCCTTCATATACTTCTCCAATTTCTTTGCCACCTTAACAGGAATACAGAAGATTGACAGGAAGTAGGTAGGAAGGTTGGCTAATGTTGACTTGACATTACTAAAAAGTACGAAGCTGAAATTCTAGGTATTAAGAAAAAAATGTAAGATAAACTTAATGAAGGGATAGAACCCCTATTATGTTTAATAGAACTACATGGAAGTTTAAGTTAAAAGTTTCCTTCAGGTTGTAAACCACCAACGCAAGCCATATGTCAAATGTGGAAATAATTCTGTATGTTATACACACCATCTTTTACAAGCAAATTTAAGAGTGATGAAAAACTTACCTTTCTTGGTAACCTGATTCCTGCTCAAGTATACTGTCACAACGTATATACTGCATACAAGTCTCGGAGACTGTGGCATCAGCAACTTTTGAATGAAAATAGTTCTTTATAAATATATCATTCTCAGAAAGAGGGGGGGAAATCATCCTCGGAATTTGGTTTTGTGGCTCATCTTCCATTTTGGCCTTACAAACTTCTGGGGTGTTATTTAATTCTTGATAGCTTACTTCTGCATTGCTTGCCATGCAATTCTCCTCTGATAGTGAAATAATTCTTCTTTTTGGCTTGGTTCTGAATCTTTTCTTCTCCAAAGAATCTGCTTGTTGGCTCATAACATGATCAATGCCACTGTTACTAGCACTAAAGAGAATATTGTCAGTGAAAGATTGCTGGGCATTATCTGGTTTTAGACGTCCTACTCCTACAATGCTAAAGCCATGATCAATGGAAGTATCCAACAAAGTTCTGCCGTTCTGCCTTACAATGCCCAGCTCCTTGTCCGTTTTATCATAATAATTGTCATTAGAAAGAAGTATGTGCATGTTGTCATTCATACTCCTCTCCATTGTGCTCAAAGATTTTTTATGCTGTAACCCATCAACTTCATATAAAGATGTCCCATATTGATAGAAGTTGTCTTCACTGCTGCTTGTATCACTATCTGAAGATGCCACCGAATATGAGTCAGCAGATAGTTGTATAAATTCTTCCTCCAGATTGTGACGCCGATGCAGGATATCCTCTTGATAATGAGGAGGTGAGCTAGGGCAAGCAGAGGATGAATAGGACTCCATAATCTCATCAATTGCTGTCAATGGTGTATTAACTTTTACATCCATATTATCATTTCCCTGGACAGCGAATCTATCTGGAAGAAAGGTATCATTTACTCCAACAGGCAGATCAAGCACCATTTCTTGATTTAAATCAAAGTATTGATGGGCATGGAAATCAATAGAAGAATCTGCAAAAGAGTTCTCAGATTCTAAAATATTTGTGCTATTCTCATCTCCTGATGCTTGAACAGATTCAGTGACATATCTTGAGCTGTTCCCAAAATTCTTTTGTCTTTTCACGTTTTTTATAGAAATCTCTTTACCAGGAAATGAGTTTTGACCTGTAAAATTTCTGTTCTCACCCACATTCTCAGAATTCTGATCCATCCACTCTTTCAAGTCTCTCAGCCAAAGAAAAGAACGCTCTTTTTTCATGCTTTCAATCCTATTTACCAGACCAACTATTTCAGTTTCACCATCAGAAATGATACTCTCTTCTCTACTTCGGATCTCACTGTCACAGGAACCTGCATCATGGTCAACAGAGTCTGAACATGTATATCTCCTCTGCTCGTCATCCTCAATAGAAGCAAGGCGAGAGAATTTTTTCTGCAAAATTTTCATAAATTATTGTTTAGGTTGGGCTGACAGAAAAGAAAGAAGTGAGATAGAGCTCCATACAGACAGGTGATATAGTTTACCACAGGCAAACTGAAATTGGAAATTGATTAGTGAAATTGCCTACCTTTTTCATGTTAAAATTCCCTTCCCCTTCAGCATCATGTGTTGCAGGAGAATAAAATCCAAAGCCAGCAGGTCGTTTCTGCCTTCTTGCAAGAATAATTTGTCTCTTCCAAGTTTCTCTCTTGCTAATTAACTTATCATCTAATTTCAACTTGATTGAACATAAAACAGAATTAAAGGACGCAGTAAGTTAGCAATCCATAAAATTGGATATTGAAAAGCTCTTGCTAGAAAATATGCTCATCTTCTCAAGTCTTCAAAAGCATACATAGAAACAGTGAAAAATGAAAGTGTATGGCTACATTCAAAAGTAGAACACATGTACAAGGAGATGTGACAACTCTAAAAAGGAGAAAATGAGTGATGTGGGACATAAACCAAGAGAAAGAAACAGAAAGAGTAATCATTAACTTACTCTTTGTGGATAAGTAAAAAAGCTGAAAACTTGAGATCGGTACCATCGGGCACAACATATTGGATTTCCTTCTAGCCATAAGCTTTGAAGAGATGGAAGGCTTGTAAGAATTTCCAACTCTGAAAAATTGGAAATAATGTTGTAAGAAAGGTCAAGCCCTTCAAGTAACTTCAAATTCTCAATCCCACGCAATGAAGTTAGAGCATTGTTCCTCAACACAAGTTTGGCAATTGAACAGGAGACCTGCAAATTTCAACAAGTTCCTGGATGTAGGTTTCTCAACTAATCCAAAAATCAAAACTCCATAGCACACAAAGCAAAGACACCGGATGAACAAACCATGTACAGTTAAGACTTTATATATTTTACTATAATTCCAGCAAATATTCATGCTGTTCTCTTTTTTTATGTTTTCTTTTGTTTATTTATTATTGATATGTAACATAAAGAATTCTATATCAGGTTTCATCATCAACCCCAGCTACTATATACTCTGCATGTATTTAATAGAAGTTCCTCTTATTTATTTATTTATTGCTATAAAGAGAAACATGAGATATGGTAATCTTGTTCCACAACTTCTGAACTATGATCCTTTTTTTTTCAAGAGTAAGAGAAGAAATTTGATTAATAAAAAGTTCTGATTAGTGTAAGATTTTGTGGAATCTCAGGTCCTCAACTCAACCAAAATAGATGCTGTTGTGTGAGTCCCATTTTTGACACTGCAAATCCGGGAGAGAAGCTAATGCAGCAGAAAGCACTAGGTTAGATCAGTTTGAGCCTCTTTGGGAACCCAAAAAGAAGTTAATAGATTTGAAGAAAAGGAAGAAATTGTCTGAAAAGGCTTTTGGCCCCATTCTTTTCTTAGGGAAATTTATGGGAGAAGAATTGGTGAAAACTAAAACTGTGGCTTACTTGGTTCTTGTTATATACTTATATTGGAAATACTATTTATAGTAAGTCTCGAACTTGTTATTTATGGTAATTCTCATAATTACGGTTTTTTGTAAACTCACAGTTTACTATTTTTAGTAATCTACGATCTCTTTAAATTAAAGTAGCTTTAGTTGGCCTAGGAGAGTGTTGAGTTGTTAGAATTGTTTAGGAGTAGATGTCCTTATTTAAGTGTCCTAATAGGTTAGTTATGGATTTTCTGTTCTCCCTAACAGCAAGAACCCTACTTTTTTGGTGCACAACAAGAACCCTACTTTTTTCCCTCCATATATTCTTCATCTCTAATGACCCCCACAGCCCCTCATTCACCCAACAAAGCCTGCTACCATATCCTAAATTAGTAGGACCCTTACCCATGCTACATCACAAGCAGATTTGCAGTCAAGATGAAGTGACAGGTTTGCAGGTGTGAGAATCCCAGAAAACAAACCGCAGATTTGCAGGTGCCAAAATACCAGAATCACAGAGTGCTCAAGAGTGTCAGCTTTGCAGTACACAGCAAAGCAAATCCGCCAAGTGAATCTAAGTGATACATGTTCACAGAGATAAACCCCAGGAAACACCAAGTTCACAAGGCAATCAAGCATACAAAGATTTACATGGTTTAGTCTTTGGCCTACATCCATGGGTGATGGCAGAGCAGATAATGCTTCCTATGGGAAGTGTTATCTGGGAATCCTATTGGGGTTTCTGCTTGAAAGGTGAAGGAGAGGGAGTCATCTTACTCAAGGTCAAAACTCTGGAGGGTCTCCTGGTTTAGTGGCAAAGCATAGAAATAGGTTTGAGAATTGTTGCATCAATAAGGTTAAAAATGTGGTTTTGGGGGAGAAAAAGAACTCGGTTAGGGAGAAGATCACAAATGTTGGACAAAATAAGGTTGAAAATGTGGTTTTGAGAGTCGTTGCATCAATAACCATATTCATTCCATCAATAAGGTTAAAAAGAACGTTGCCATTGTCTGAGATGGTGAGAGGGTGAGAGGGTGAGAGGGTGAGAGGTGATAGTTTTGCCATTGTCTGAAAGCATGGGGAGGATCTGTTGCCATTGTCTGAGCTGGTGAGAGGGTGAGGAACTGTGTTTTCGTCTGTTGCCATTGTCTGAGATGGTGAGAGGGTGAGAGGGTGAGAGGGTGAAGAGTAAGTAAACAAAG